ATCACTTTAATTGGTTTAATGATATCATACATAATAATCATTCAATAGTTATCTCATAATTAAGATATTGTCAGACAATTAGATAAAGGGGTTCTCAATGAAAGGAAAGGGCTTTCAATGCAATGTTTGGCCATTTTGTGACTCAAACACACACTCATTGATAATGAATGGATGGATGTGTTGCGAAAAGACATTAAACACATTAAACACATTCAATACCTCACTGTCTGTTGAATGCAATCCTTAAGCGACGATTGGTTTTGATTGCAATTACTGTTAGACTTAGCGTTGGTTTGGCTCAGAGTCTGCGATCCATTCATTTGGTGATCATTAGTCTTGAGATCAGTTGCCATCACTATCTCTGCCTTGAGTTGAACATCACTGCATTTGCTGTTCATATTAGACAACATATTGCCACACAATCACTCACTTTGGTCTCACTGTTGCGGTGATCACTGAGTTTGTGTCTATGGTGGTGGTGTGAATGGTGTGAACACTGGTCACCACAATGACTACCAGTCCTTCAGTCCTTTGTTATGGCGATTACAATGACTCGGGAGACACCCAACACCACACCAAACATCAACGTATGTCTCGTGTCATCCATGGTGTGGTGCGATCACCACCTCAACAATCACTGTCTTAATGGTTAGGTGGTGTCGATTGGCTCACCATCTTGTCTGCACTGGTAGTCTCACTGAGCACTGGTATGACTGCGAGATTGTATGGCTGTGTTCATGTATCACTGGATGTATGGCTGTATGACTGGTGTTGTGTGTGTTGTGTGTGTTTGGCTGCAAATCAGCTGTTGTTCACTGAGTGAGCGCTCTGTAGACGTATAGACTCTATCATTGCATTCAATATTATACACCATTCAGTCATACAAACCACTATTAGTGCCTCACTTTGCGCTATAGTTTTCAATTCACTTCGATATACCCGTAAAAAGTTTTAATTCAGTTTTTCATTTGACTAGTGGTAGACATGATTAGCAAAATCAATTATAGTGGCAATTGTGAGTTATAGACATAGATCAAATTGAGAAACAACTCTTCCGTTATTATTGGCAAAAGTTGATGCGAGTTGTGTTTAGTTAAGCGAAAACTTGTGGCAAAACTTTGCGAGCGACTGCCAAATGAGTGTAAATCTAAATTTAAATGAATATGAATTTAAGTTTTAAATTGTTTTCAAAACGTATTGCATATGATATAGCAGTTGGGATACATTTTTAGATTAATTTATTTATATGAAGTGCTGTACAGTACTACACACACAGCCATTGATTGCATTCATAAGCAACTAATCATTAGGTTTTGATGCTTTCATTCCTAGCCTTAAAGTAAATATATTTCTCATAAGAATATATACACGAAAAGGAAATATAAAAAAATTGAGGCAAAGAATAGCATTGAACTGACTTTGGATTAACGGTTTGGAGTTTAGCACCGAAATAGGGTTAAGCTTTGATTAATTATTAGATCACTCAATGATAGAGTCAAACAGTTTTATGATAAATTATTTTCAAGTGTATCACAAGTTTGGCTGCAAATACAGTACAGTACTGTATATACGGTGTTACAAATTAGTTTGAAATTATAAAAAACTTTAAAATCAAAATATTTTCTCGAATCAAATCAATTGAAGGACACATTCATATATCTCTATGTTTTTTAAAATTACAGATTAATCCTTATTGTTATCATTTCGAGAGTTAAAACATATTTTAAGTATGAGTTTAGAAATATTATTCAATTATAAGTAGCGATAGATTGAGACAAATAATTCACAGTATATGTAGAGGTTTTTAATACATTAAACAATTGAATTATTTTGAACAAAAGTCACAAAATTAGACAGAATTTCACAACAGTGTAAATTTATGAGATTAGATTATATAAGAGTAATATTAATATAGGGATTCATTTGAAGTAATAAACTTGTACAGTACAGCATTATATAAGTATGGTAACTTCTTGCTATTCCACGAAATTTGTTTAAAATTGTCACAAAATATCACAAAATACACGTTAAAACCATATAATATCAATTAATATTATTTAATATAATTAAAAGTTTGTCATTTTTTGGTATTTTTGTTATAAAAATGATTATTAAACTCAAATGAAAACTAAAAAATACTTAATATAACCCATACTTCAATTAAACGCATAGATAAGGGCGACCTTCAAAGCGAATTTATGATGAGATAATTTTGATGGCTTTTATTCAAATTATATCATTAATAGCAAGTGATATAACAGACTACTTGTCTCCATCATTATTGCACTCCACTCCCAACAGCCCTTTCCATCCAACAATTAAATGAATCCAACATTTATAGCACTATTCAAACCAATTATAGATTCAACTTCTATACACCATTCACATGAATATATTGATAAAATTCTAATAATAAATGAGAAAACAATATCTATTTTTATCAATACTTCTAAACAATTGGTATATTATGTCTATAATCCACAAACTGACAAAAATTTACTTTCACTTGTTATAAATGTACTAGTATAGTATACAACGAAATCATTATAATTATCGTAATAAGACTGAATAAGTAAAATTTAATCATTAAATTTTAATTCACAATACAATACACTATTGCTTCAAAACATCAACTATTCTGTACTGAATCTAAATGACATGAAACCTTAAATTTGTACTGTATTTTACCTTACAGTATACAGGTACAGTACATATACCGTATATATAATTGAATATATTTTGTATTAAATCTAAATTGAGACATATTGTAAAAGTAGCAATCATTAAACAAAGATCTCATATAAAATTATTAAATCAATATAAATCGATTTATATTATTAATATTTGTATGACACGATACAACACCAATTTTTATTAGGGAGAAAGAGTTTCAATTAATTAAACCGCGATTATCATAAAAATCATAAACCAAATAAATTATGAGGACGTTTTTTGATAATTTAAGCCTCAGTTTAAGCACAATATACTCATATTATATATTTCCAAAGCAATTATATTATCAAAATCTTTAATAATACTATGGGTTTCCATCGAGAACTATAGAAGTATTAGTAAAGGCATCTATTTTTAGTATGTTTTAACAAAAATAGATTTTAAAAAGTAATTAAATTTATTTACAATACCCGTACGTCCGATATGTGAATAAATGTCTCGAATTAAAACAAATTTTTTTATTTATCTTCACATTCTTTAGTTTACGAGAAAAGTAAAACTAATTCAATAGTTTTTGTAAAACATTACCAAAAAGTTATTAATAAATATACAGAATCTGTATTACAGATATATACGGTACTATAGAATCTATAGCACAGATCCAACTCTAAAATAATTTGGCATTTGTGTATTTGTATAACTTTTATATTGACGTTTACATTTTAAAGATTTATTTAATTTTTATTTAAAATTCAAAAATTATATTCAAGTTATTGTTTTCATAAAAATAATTTTAATAAGGAACTCGATTTGAAATAGTTATAAAATCAATTTTAGAAAATAGTCTAATTATAAAAATAGTTTTAATCATTAAACAATTTTATAATTAATGTACGAAATGGGATTTTAAGCATTAAGTTTCATAAGTGAGTATTTGTTTAAAATTAATATTAAGCTATTTATCGAAGAGAATAATTTGAAAAATTATATTTCAAACGAAATTCTCGACTTAATTGAAATAATTATAATGTATTGCTTTCAGCAGAGAATATAATACTGATATTTGAAGACTTATTAGAGTCGACAAAACAGCAGAGATGTTGTCATAACTAACATATTGTCAAAGACTTTGCAATTGAATTAAGTTTCATATAGAAATATATTGTGATATAAAAACGTATAAAATGTTCAAAAATACAATTCAAGTAATTATATTAATGTTATAATATTTGTAGAAAATTAACGAACAAATTAAGAGTTTATATATTAATTATAATTATTATTATTAAAATCATATATCATATCATAAAAGTTTGTTTGGATCGAAATGTGCAACACTTGGAATGATATATCAAAAAGGATATCAAAAATCAAATAAATTAATAAACATTTCATTAAATCATTCATTTGAATCAAATAGATATACAAATACTAGTGTTTTGATAATGTGTCCGTAATATTTCAACAATTGTAATAAATTTTGTTTTCATTCTCAATAAAAGGCACTCAAATAAGGCTTTAATTGAATTTACAATACTTTTCTAATGATATCCGCGACAATTAATTAAAATATTAATATTTTATATATATTTAAAAATTAAAAAACAAAATATTTAGAGTATTGAACAAAACCAGACTTTCGACTGCTTTCTTGTCGGCTCATTAGCCCTCAAGTGATGACTCCCGCGCGTGGGGTTTGACGCCTCCTGCAAAACACACCACAAAATAGCCATTAGTTTGACATTTCATTGAGTTTTTTGCTAACATTTCACAAGACTTAGTGCTTAACGAAAAACAAATGCAAATAAGTGTACATTAAATCGATTTAACGATTGAGTGAATGAGTCATACCTTCTAATGAAAGGAAAGCCAATAGTATTGAGAAATAGAGAGAAATTGCGACCAAATGTGAGAAGAGAGACATAAAGAGAGACAGAATGTAAAGACAATAGACATGTGTTGGGAATGGTAGGGAATGGTAGGTATCGGGAGTGTCGGCTCGGGGTGTGTTGGTCGTGGTGTGCGGATGACTCACCAATTTTTTCTCCATCTTTGTCTTGATATCCTTGGCTAAGGCGAAGAAGGCCTCCTCGACGTTGACACTGGCCTTAGCGCTGGTCTCCATGAATTTGATGCCATACTCGATGGCCAACTGTTCGCCTCTTTCGCGAGACACTTGTCTCCTGTCATTGACATCGCATTTGTTGCCTAAAATCATTTTCTCGACATCACTGGACGCGTGCTCTTCGATATTGCGGATCCAGTTCTTGATGTTCTCGAAGGACTTGTCGTTTGTCACGTCGTAGACCAACATAATACCCATCGCTCCCCTATAGTAGGCCGTCGTTATGGTGCGGAACCGTTCCTGTCCTGCGGTGTCCCATATCTGGAGCTTTATCTTCTTGCCGTCTAATTCAATGGTCCGGATCTTGAAGTCGATGCCTGTTTGGGGAGACAGAGGGAAGGGATTGAGTGGTAGTGTCAGTGGTGGTGGCAGTGATGGTGTACTGACCGATGGTTGAGATGAAAGTGGTGTTGAAGGCGTCTTCGCTGAATCTGAACAAAATGCATGTCTTTCCCACTCCGGAGTCACCGATGAGTAAGAGTTTGAATAAATAGTCGTATGTTTTGGCCATTGGTTGCGATCACCTCTCAGTTGTAATACAATTAACGGCAAACCAATTGAACGGTAAATAAATAGAAAGAAATGAATGAATGGTTTAATGAAATGATGGCAACGTTTACAGCGTTTCTCACAAACAAACAAATTATTATTAATTATTGCATTGGCTTTGACTCAAACACTCATTGTAGGGACCGTTCACTCATTACGTACAACACGCACGCACTCACTGTCACTCCCAGTTCGCTGAATCAACTATGGTTTGTGGGCACAAAAAGTTTTTATTCACTTTTCACAAACTTTTTCACAAACTTTTCCAACACATTAGAGTCTAATGATTAGGCTATAAACTACAGTCATTTGAATTTAATTCACACTTAATGTGTTGATTTCGTTTGACACTTGAGTTGAGTTTAATCAACTGACAAATACCGGTGCTTTCATAAGGTGCGGCCTTACGTAGAGTTCTGTTATATAAACAATATAAATCTATGAATAGACCTGTTATCTAATCAACGAGGGTCAATTTCAATACGGTAATTGCTTTATTACTAATAAGGGAAATATTTAAAAGCTTATCTAATATTAACATAAAATATTAGCGGAATTCATATTACAGTCATCGTTCAACTGAATTTAATTATCATAATAATTATGTAACAAAAATTGTCAATTAATAAGTTAGCAATATGAATTAATTATCATATCGATAACAGTATATTATAAATTAAAATAAATTATGTATGAATTAATTAATAATTTAGTGCTAATAAGACTTCTTTGTTCATTAATTCATTATAAATAAGCATTTAAAATAATTACAAAGCACTCATAATATGTTATGAATAATTTCATTATTAAAAATAATTAACATCAATAATTTGCAAATTACTTCAATTTATTGTATAATTAAGTTTATAAAAATCAATTACTGTATTGATATAAGAATCAAAGAATATTCTCGTTATCATAAGCCGAGGCGACGCCTGTCTGTCCCATCTTCACAATAGAGGCCTCTCTGTCGCCGGCATTCACTTCCAGACCAAACCAATGGTTCGTTTCAAACACTTTGGTTTCAATGAGTTTATTATTCAAGTCTTTCACATCGGACTCCTCTGTATCGGAATCCGAGTTCTGTGTCTCTGAAGAGTCTATCGTCTCATTCCAAACAACTCCTCCGTAATGTGTCTTAACTCCCGATGCGATCAGGAATTCCGTCCAATTGAGGACAGGGAGACAATAATCAATGGCTTTGAGAGCTGACGAACAAAAGCATGAGTTGCTGACAACAAAAGCGTGGAGTTGTCCGAAGTTTCCTAACTTGTATTCATCAAAGGCCTGCACCAGAGATATGAAGTAAACTTTTTTGTGATTTTTTCGACTCAATTGTTTGCTTTGAGCGCACATTTCGCTCACATTTGGTAACGGATTCGTGAAGAGGACTCCAACTAAACGACACGACTTCTGCTTAAACTTCTCGATCAGAGCCACTCTTTTTCGGAGTTCTTTTGGTCCAGAAATTAATCGTTTGGTTCTGTTATTGATGTCAATCTCCAATAATTTGTCACAATTTACTGTTAAATCTAATGAATTACATTCTCCTAAATATACGACTAAATCGTATGTTTTTAACTCATTTTGCAATGAAAATTGACAAAAATTAATAAACGTGTCATTGTTTCCAAAGTGAAGAACTGGTGAAAAAGTTTCTGTAAATTTCCATTTGTCACACATTATATTCAATTTAGCAATAAATACATTGTCTTTAAGTGTTGAGTTTTGATCAACTATTTTCATAGTCTCTAAAGCCGTGAATGCATTGATTGTATTGTAAAGAATTAAACAATTCTTTGGTTGCATTTCAACAATTGCTGATTCAATGAACTGCAAGGAATCGGTGTTCACTGAAAAGACATAAATAACATTAAAATTGAGCACTTTTTACAAAACCTTTTATAAAACTTACGGGTCTTTGTGAAGACATGCAAAACGGGTAACGAATCACTAAATTGTGAAGAAGTGAGGCAAACATCACCGAAATATATGATAGAATCGGCCGTCGATTCATTCAAATGCTGGACCGATAGATAGTCGACACAACACATCGTTGAATATGATATGAAGAACTGGGTTTGAGTTCGCTTTTGAAGAATCAATGAAATTCTGGAACTGTTTTGAAGACACTGTTTGGAGAATTGTAAACAAGTCCTCAAATAATTGTTTTGTTGAATCCATTTCACGCATTCTTCCACTTCATACAAACCACACAACTCTTCCTCTGCTTTCAAATTCATTATTATTTTAGTTTTTAGTTTCTGTTAGTGTTTAAAATTTCCAACAAAAATAAACGTTAATTTCTGTAAAAAAAATTAAAAAACAAATTGAAAACTTTGATTATATTTGATAACTGGCTGTTATAACTTATAAGACATGTGCTTTGTATATAAATTACTAACTAAAAATTGATGATAACAGTAAAGTCTCATACAGTATAGTCTGTGAATAGTGTATTAATTAAAAACATGTTTTATGAAGCAGTTATGATGTAATTATAACTTAAAAGTTTGTATTAGTAATGAAGATAACGGCGAATGCGTGTAAAGCTATTTGTATAGAAAGTATGATAAAGAGGTGGTTCCAAAGCAACTCAATTCAAGGCAATACGAAAAACTATTTTCTACTTTCGCTTTATTTTTGTTTGCTTTGAATTCAGAGAAAATTCCTAAATTCATTTTAAAGACATATTTATATTAATTATTACTTTAATTGGAAATAAATGATTTTAATTTAATTTATCGTCTATTAGTTTTATCTGAAAATGTGTTTAATGTTTACGTTTAATACTTTAAATGTTTAAACGACTAGTAACTAGTCACTAGTTAATAGATTATACAATAAAACGAGTTTATGTTACAAAATGTGTCGATCCGTTATCGCAACAAATCATTCAAAACATATTTTCCGTAGCAATGAAGGAGTTTTGAATTAAATAAATTATAGTCATAAATGTAATTGAAAGTCAAAATATGGAAACTAATGGTCGATCGGAGAGCACAGAGAGTGAGAGCGAACTGCAATTGATTTCGTTGTCCATAAAGTCATTCAAAGTATTTGCGATTATATTCTGTGGCTATGTTTTGGGTTATTTCGGGCTCAGTATCGCATGGATCCTAATCGCTGTATTTGTATGGGTTTTGCGATACAAATACTTCATTCAACAGACAGAAAAAGTTAATCTCTTGAGATCTATCGCTTCCAATGAGAAGTTAGCCATAACTTCTGCCATCAAAGACTTGCCCTCTTGGGTCCACTTTCCGGTAATTTACTGAATATTCTATACTCGAGAATTGTATTCAGAATATAAATTCAGAACTCAATTCTCAATACATTGTGAAATTCTATACATATTAATATTGTTTACTAGTGACTAACCGGAGAGCTTTGCAGTCTATGCCGTTCTCTTCATTCACATAATTATAATGTCTGTACTGTAGTCACAATAACAATACAATTGTCAATTGTCAATTCATCATTAATGATTACATTAATAATTAAACAGGACTTAAATAATGAGTTGCAAAAGTTTGGAACAGTTTAGTAAAATTTAAATTGTACTTGTACAGTATCATTAAATTTTACAATATCAATTTATAGTGATGGCTGTTATAATTATATATATATAGATAACAATTAGTTTATTTTAAGATGCAATTAAATCTCTTAAATTTGTTCATTTTGAACAAACTGTTTGTATTGTTCAAGGACTTCAAGAATTTTGAAAATCATTAATTATAAATAAAAGTAGTGTATGTCTACAGTAAGTATTGCTTAATTATTGCAAAGCTATAAGAATGCAATTTAAACATTATACTGTAACTATACGGTAAATGAGAAATATTTATGACAATGTTATCAATAAATAAATAGTTTTTAATGTTTCATGAACCGACTTTTTCAGGATAGAGAAAGAGCCGAATGGATCAATAAGATTATGAAACAAATGTGGCCTTTCATTCACGAGTACATGAAGACTGTCATTAAACAGAGTATCGAACCAAACATCACTTCAGCGCTTCCAGACTATTTAAAGAGTTTCAAATTTGAAAAATTAGACTTGGGGTCAGAAGTAAGTTTCGCAAATAAATAATAAAGTACTGTACTGTACAGTTCAAAGTTATCTAATTTGGTATCTCTTATCATAACTGCTAATCAATAGCCGGCACGCATTGGAAGTGTTAAATGTTATGATGAAAACACATCGAGAGATGAAATTATATTCGATGTGGAGATTCAGTTAAGTCTGCAGTGATTCCTACAATTAGCACTCATTGTAAAAATTGTTTGTCAATCAGTTATGCCGGCAATTGTGACATTCAGGTGCGGGTAAAGGGCATGAAAGCAGGCATTAAGAACTTGCAATTATATGGATTAATTCGGGTTGAGTTACGGCCACTACTTAAGGACATACCACTTGTCGGAAGCGTTTCTTTCTATTTTCTCAATAATCCTGCCATTGATTTCAATTTAACTAATTTGGCCGACATTTTAGATACGCCAGGCGTCAGGTAATCGCACAAAATGTATATATTTAATGCAATTCTTAATGGATTATATTGTGAATGGGAAACCAGTAATTACTTAAGGCATGCCATCCAAGAGAAATTGGCGGCTCTTATGGTTCTTCCCAACAAAATCGTTGTCCCACTCATTGACGGCCTCTCAATGAAATCAATTAAGTTTTTAGCACCGATTGGAGTCATTCGGATGGAAGTGATTGAAGCGAGAAATTTAAAGAAGAGTGACGTCGGGATGTTAGGTATGACCGGATGTTCTATACATTTAGTGTCCCACTAATGGCTCATTGATATCAGGTCTAGGAAAGAGTGACCCATACGTGAGGCTCACAATCGGAAGCCAAGAATTCAAATCTCCAGTCATTTACAATACAGTGAATCCCAAATGGAATTACATCTGCGAAGCGGTGGTCCATCACTTGCACGACCAGAATATTGAGATAGAAGTGATGGATGAGGACCAGGGAAGCAAAGATGACTTCTTAGGCAGAGCTTATCTCTCACTTAAGGCTATATCGGCCGAAGGCATGAGTGAATCGTGGCTTACATTGAAGGACATAAAAACGGGTGCCATTCACGTGAGAACCACTTGGTTTGCATTAAGTGATTGTATGGAACAACTCAACGATTCCATCGAAGAAAGTAAATTAATTAAATGTAAATACAGTCCCATTGGAGGCACTGATGAATTCGATGGACAAACATGTGGTTCAGTGGCCGTTATCACAGTGTATTTGGACGGCGCCAGCAATTTAGCCGTAATTAGCAAAACATCGGGAGAGCCCGACCCCTATTGTCTGATATCAGTGGGAGGACAACAGCGACAAAGTATTGTCCAGAGATCTACTGCTAATCCTATTTGGGAGGAAACCTTCAATTTTCTCATTCAAAATTTCAATCAAGACTTAGAGTTAACTTTCGATATAATTGACAGCAAAACAAATCGAGACTTAGGAAGGGCTCAACTGAAGCTCCAGAATGTTATTTCATGTGATAACTTATCATTCAGTCAACCCCTTGCTATAAAAGGTCGGGGACCTGACTCTAAGCTCAACGTTAATATTATGATGAGGATATTAAAACCACAGACAACCACACATACCGGTGGGCCTCCAGTTATACTCGAAGAACCCGTTGATGAAAGTGAGGAAACAAAAGTTCCCACTTTGGAGGACATCATCAGAGGTACAGTGCAACCAATCATCGATACGAGTGGTTTGAAAACAAATTTCATGGATAAGTCACAAATGGATAGAAAACATAGCGTTTCGAAAGCTAATGGGTATGCCTTTCGATGAATTAGCATTTAAAATAATCAAACAATTAATGACTAAATTATATGAAACAAAATATCTAAACACAGGTCTAAAGCAGCAGAAAATACAGATGATTACGATGAATGTGATTACCCAAGAATACAACTAACAATCACACCGTCAGAATCTGATAATAGATTAAGTCTTATTGTGCATAAAGCAGAGTATGTGCTCATATGTTACAGTTAATCAAATTACAATAGCGACTGTAGTAATCAATGTAATGTTATAGGAATTTGCCCAAAATTGGTGATAAGACTCCCAACCCTTACGTCAAGATATTTGGTACTCCGGATAAAATATCGCGAACTCTTAGAGATAATAGTCTTAAGACTGGCACTAAAAGAAACACTTGTCATCCGATATTTGATGAAAAGTAAGTGAAACACAGTACTGCCTCATACGATAAATTCAGTGATTATAGTTATACTGTACAACAGAATCGATTAGGTTTTCACGTTAACGTTGTTTCATTAGAAATACTCTATAAGTTTATATTCTGAACCCTTTTAATGTTAAATCTCATAAACTTGATTTCATCACAATATTAGGGAAATGACAACAAATATGATAACTGTACTTGTTTATATTTGCAACTGATCATGGTCATTGATCATATTTATATTTGTTGATAGTTTTCAAATGGATAGAAAGTGGAAAGGCGTGGAAATAGTGGTCTACTCTAGAAGTGGTTCATCACATCATGTGTTCAAAAGAAAGGCTAAAATAATAGGATTGGCGACCATTGAGTTCACAGCATTTGCAGATAACTTTGAGCCCATTAAAGAGTGGTATGATTTGGAACAACTCAAAGACTAAATACCTTTTGAAAAATCTCAAAATGCTTGAAATGTACTATACAGTAATGTACTAGGAGCTAAATATAACTTATTATTATCAACTCATGTCATACTCAGTCATTAATTGGTATCTTGAAAGCAGTCATAATTTAATACTACCGGTAATACAGTGAGAATTTTGTATAAAAGATTTATAACACAAATGCTTTATTTTATTTATTAATACTATTGATAACTATTGATAAATAATTCATATTTAAAGCTTTTTAATAATTGAAATCTCTATTTTAATGCCATATCTATTGCCTTAATAAAGAATTATATAACTGTAATATATAACATACAAAACTATACCGTAATAAATGTCCGCATAATTTACAGACTGATAAGAAAGTGTTGAATAATCAAAGATAGTGTTTGAATGCATTTATTGCATAATTAGAGTGCATCACAACTGAATTGACTTACATTGAGCTCATTTGTCATGAGGTAGAGGGTAAGGGTAGCGGTAGAGCCAAACTGTGTCAATACCGGTGCCAATAGTTTCTATAGGTTTCCAATTAGGGAATGGGAACCGACAGGCAATTACATCCACTTTCTGTCCGCTATGATTGCAATCGTTTTGAATCTTATACTCCAGAGTTTTCATCATATTCTCGACACCGAATATAATGATATTGTCATAATTGGAGGCATTTATCTGTTTGTAAACCACAGGACATTGCATTAAAATAATACCTAATGCTAAACACACCCATTTATGCATACTTTCCACAAATTCTTGCAATAAAATTGTGTCAACCGATGAGTGCCTAATATTCTGGATCTGATCTTCGAGTATAAGACAAGCCTTTAACAGTAATATAAGAATATCTATTTTAGTCCATTATTTGCAAGCAATTCATTTCATATAACTTCTGAAGTCTAGACTATTGTCTCATTAAAGCATTCAATTATAGGCGTCAATGAATGATAGGTACAGATAATGGTAGGTCTGCCACACTGTTTGACTGATAAATGTTTTAATCCATGAAAACAATCAAAGAGTTTATACCAGGGATTCAATTCGACACCATATGATAGGACACCGATTTTAGCGCATTCTATCACCTGAAGGGTGAAGATAATAGACTTACAGTTAGAGGAAGGGGTCAAACAAATGAATGAATGCATACGAGTCTGCCGTCACCACTGCCCAAGTCGACGATAGTCTTGGGTTTGGATCTGTTCACGAGTGTCAGTACGTTCTTGAGCTGTGAATCAGTGGCCGGAATGTATGGCAACACTTGGCGTCTCAATGCCGGCCAAACGAATGGCAAACTTATGGCTAATAAACCCACAGAAACACCGCCGAAGACAGCGATTCCAACCTTCGCGATGGTCTGCGATCTGTGCGACCTGAGAGTGGATGAGTTGTCTTGGGATGAGATGTCCAACTGATGGGTGATATCCGTGACAGAAGTCATTCAAATGAGTTGTATTCAAATAAATTGCATTTCAGTGCTTCACATGTGATTCAGTGTTGAATGCATTGAATGAATGCAATCCTATAGCCAGTAATAATGTCATTGATTAGAGGCTAACCCACTGCTAATGCCTATACTTGAGTCCATTCGCGTGAATGCTTTACAGAGACATCACTTATGGATGAAATCGCGCGACATTTCACGCATTGATTGCGTGAATGTGAAAGTCAGACACAATTGTCCTTCAATTCAACGCTTATATAATCAAAAGCATTACAACTATTCATTCATTCAAACTATTGTTAATTGTCTAACAATTATTGCTGACAATCGTTGTATCACTTAATGTAAGCTATAATACAATGCTATCTAATGATATACAAAGCTATATATGCACTGCAATTAAGCTATTCATTCATTAATCTTACAGTTATTTCCAAAAAGCATTATTCAATTCAATTGAATTCATTCCCATTTAATAGTATTTGCCATTCATTACAGAGTAAGTGATTAAGTGTTTGACAATTTTTGCACATTTTTTCCTTTTAAATCTCATTTAATGAATATTCATATCCTTATGACATGTCATCCAGAAGTGAACCGCTCTTAAACTACCTGAAGATGAAGCGCACGCCGTCGTCACCGTCAGAGCACATCCCATACCAGTTGAAGGCCAGTGAAGCCGACTCTTTGATCGATCACTTGAGTGCCCTCGACATCGACTCTAAGCCACAGTCCATACGTTTGTCGGGAATTATCTGCACTATCGGTGACTATCACTTGATTTGATTGCATTTGACTCTTATTAGCCAATGACTAACTCGTGTCTAACCGGTGCCATCAGGTCCTGCCTCTCAGAAAGTGGAGACATTGGTGCAGATGATCAAAGCCGGGATGGTTATCGCACGCATGAACTTCTCGCACGGGGAGTATGAGGTATGTCCGCAACACACACCCCTTACACCCCTTTCCATGGCTTGACTAATGTGATGACCCGTACAGTACCACAAGGCCACCATCGATAACGTACGAAAGGCTGCCGAAGTGGCCTCTCAGGAGCTCGGGATCCCTAACTATCCGGTGGCCATCGCTTTGGATACTAAAGGACCCGAAATAAGAACCGGTCTTTTGGAAGGAGTGAGTCTTTTATATTGATATGAGTTTACAATTTCAATGTCATTTCAATGCTAACCAAACATTTGGTGGTTTTAGGGCCCGTCAGCGGAAGTGGAATTAGTGAAGGGGGAGACCATTAAAGTGACTACAGATTTGGCTTTCAATACGAAAGGCTCTAAGGATTTGATTTGCGTTGACTACAAGAATATCACTAAAGTATTAGTTCCGGGAAACCGAATCTTTGTCGACGATGGACTCATTTCCCTTGTGGTCAAAGAAGTCGGTATGTCTTCAATGTCTTCAATGTCTTCAATGTCTACCAATCATTAATATTCTTGAAAATGTGATTATAATTGCGGCTAAATTTGTATGAAACAAAAGGTGCGGACAATTTGGTTTGCGAGATCGAGAACGGGGGCAAATTGGGCTCTAAAAAGGGTGTGAATCTGCCTGGTGCTATTGTCGATTTGCCGGCTGTTTCTGAAAAAGACAAAAAAGATCTGGAGTTTGGTGTCGAGAATGGCGTCGATATGATATTCGCCTCATTTATTAGGAACGGCTCCGGCGTTAAGGAGATCCGTAAGATTCTGGACGGGAAGGGCGGGAAAGACATAAAAATCATCTCAAAGGTGGAGAACCACGAGGGCGTCAAAAAGATCGATGAGATAATCGCTGAGAGCGATGGTCTTATGGTCGCGCGCGGAGACCTCGGCATTGAGATACCGGCGGAGAAGGTATTCCTCGCCCAGAAGATGATGATCTCGAAGTGCAACGTCGCCGGCAAGTCTGTCATCTGCGCCACACAAATGCTCGAGAGTATGGTCACTAAACCCAGACCTACCAGAGCTGAGGTGTCCGACGTGGCTAATGCTGTGTTAGACGGCGCCGATTGTGTGATGTTGTCGGGAGAGACGGCTAAAGGACAGTACGCTTTGGAAACGGTGGCGATGATGCACGCCATCTGTCTGGAGGCCGAGTCCGCTATGTTCACAAAGGTTTGCAATTCTGGCTATACTTTTGAATCATATTTTAATTGATTGTCGTTTCAATCAAATACAGAGTGTTTTCCAAGAGTTGAGTTATAAGACGCGGTCGCCGGCAGATCCGACCACTACTATAGCGATCGCTGCGGTGAACGCGTCGTTGAAGGCGAGCGCATCGGCTATCATAGTGTTGACCACAAGCGGCAAAACTGCGTACGAAGTGTCGAAGTATAGGCCGCGCTGTCCTATAATCGCGGTGTCGCGCAACACCCAGACCACACGTCAGGCACACCTATACAGAGGTCTTCTGCCCTTCCATTACAACAAACAGCGAAACGAATCGGAGGATTGGATCCATGATGTGGACACTCGACTCAAGGATGCCGTCGACTTCGGCAAAAAGAGAGGCGCTGTTAAGTCCGGTGATACTGTGGTGTTGATTACGGGTTGGCGTAAGGGTTCCGGTGCTACGAATACCCTTAGAATAATAGTCGTCGAGTGAACTCTATTTAGTTTAAAGTGTTAATGTATTGATTGTATTGAATAGCTTTAGATAATCAACTGTCGTATGGATTCTATTCGGAAATGAAATTTATTTATGGAAATTATAGTCAAATCTGTTTTTGTTTATAATTCATGTTTTATCTCAAAAGATCTGTATTTTATCATTAAATTAAGTAATATTTTTGTTTTAAATTAATTAAATTAAAAATAGGATTAATTAATTATAGATTTAAAGTATAAACTTTTAAATAAATTAATGTTTGAGTCGTAACCACAATTAATTATTTGTAAATTATAATCAAAATATCACCGTAATAACAATTATTAAAATTAATATATTAATATAATATTAAACTTAAGTATAAAATTAATAAAAGACTAGTTTTAACCAGGAAATCATAATTACCGTACAATTAATTGTCAATTAATTAATTAAATTATGTATTAATAGTGTATAACTTAATAAAATTCCTTTGATTAACCGATTATTTGGATTGCAATGCAGTAAATGCTTATATCGACACATAATTTTAATTTAAATAAACTATATTCTCATTGCACTGAAGGTATAAAATAACAAAACATAACAAAAATAAATTAAGGCTTAAATACATGAGAAATGAGATTCTGATGAGTTTATCATGAGATTCAGTGATAACCAGAACAGAATCAAACGCCTCATAATCACTCAATTGAATTCCTACTTACAGTATCATTGAGTGAACACTTTCACTAAAATTCAGCAAAAGTGGTCAACAAATCAAAACAATATTCAAAGTCATCAGACAATTGATTTGATAAGACGTTTGATAGTTAAACGACAATACAATAGATATTATGTTTAATAGAGTATAGAATAGAGTAAAACCGCAAAATTATAGATTTATGGCTTAGGGTTTGAATCCGGCGTTTGACTTGACTTTCGCATAGACTGGAGATTTGGTTTGTCCGCCTTTGGGCACCGGAATCATTGACTTACGTTGACTACGTTTAGGGTTCTCAGTGTTCAGGGTAGTGGGCCGTGGGATTGACGACTGCGGGCGTCGCAAAACCAGTTGAGGCTTTCGAGGGGTTTCCGGTTTGACACCTGTTTTGTTGGCTTTGTTTGACACGCGTTTTGCTTCGCAAATGTTGTCCACTTTCCGATTGAGACCAACGTTTGGGCTATTAGTGGCCGATTTGCAACCATTGGGACTCACAGTTGCCATCGACTCCCAGCGCTGTTTCAACTCTTTGAAATTGGAGCCGTCGTCTGATCCACTCTTTTGTGGCAATTCCTCCGCAACTTTCCTATTATTTCCATTCGAGACCGAATTGTTCGCGTTTTGTGGCATTCTTTGGGCTGACTTTTCAGGATGTGCTCCATTAGACCAACCATTTTGTCCGTTAATATCCATATCGTAAGTGAGATCCATATCGAGACTCATATCCATATCAAAACTACTCAAATCTAGACTCAAATCAGTGGCCAATATATGACATAATTTGTCAATAGAACTGCTCTTCATGTCATCACTCGATGTCCTGTTATACGACTTGTCGGGCGAGTGTTGGGGCGTCCGATCACCACATGAGTGACAATAGCTATGCTGATGACAACAGCTCTGGTGACAGTGACATGAAGTGTGGCAGCAGTGCTGGTGACAGTTGCATGAGTTATGGCAACAGTGTTGGCGCTGGTGTCGGTTCCACGAGTTGTGACAGTTAGGCATAGTTACGCTCCGGTGCATAGGACTCACGTCAATGTGTTCACTCATAGTATGGCAATCGGTTTGGTGTCCACTGTATCGAGAGTAGGGGTAGTCTTGCAGTGAAAAGCGTTTGTTTCGGTTGTTGTTGTTATTGTTAGACAAACGACTGCTACTCCGGTGCGACCGCATCCGTACGCTATTGGATGGAGTGGTGTCCGACTCGAGACTGTCTTCACTGATATGAGAGTCACAACTCATTTCATTGATGGTATTGGAGACAGTGTTGGCCTTTTGGATGAGTTCTTTGAACTCATTGGGCAGAAGAATGTTCAGCGAATCCCAATCCTTGACGTGATTGAAGTTTTGTTTGCAAAAGCTCTCGAAATCGTTCAGTGATTTGAGTCGTCGTTTGGATCCATCGGTGGCCGACTTTTTGCGCATTTTCACGGACACCGAGTCCCGGTCTGGCTGTTGATGACTAGTGGGCGACAAATACACCTTTTGTTGGCCGCCATTGGAATGGTCTTCAAGTATTTGTTGCAGAAAACTGAGATCCGGAAGCGAATAGTTGGGGTAATAGACGTAAAACGGTTTCAGTGAGTCCGTCGGTGACTCCGGGGTCATCACTGGCGCCCCATTGCCTGCCATTTGGTTCAGATTGGGTCTGCGGGTCACGTCGGGTGGGGTCAGGGGGTCCGTGGCTTTGGGAGGCGGCAGTCGTGTGCTTGTGGTGGGAGTGTTGGGCACCAGACGGTAGATGTCTTGTC